GAGCGGCCACTGCACTCCAGTCTGGGCGACAGAGTGAGACTCTAACTCAAAAAGAAAAAAAAATACACACACACACAAACAAGCAACTGGAACCACAGGTATATGCCACCACACCTAGCTAATTTTATTTATTTATTTATTGTAGAGACAGGTGTTGCCAAATTGCTCAGGCTGGCTCAGGTAATCCTCTCACCTCCGCCTCCCAACGTGTTGGGATTACAGGTGTGAGCCACCGGGCCCAGGTTTTTCTTTTCTTCCTTTCTTCCTTTCTTCACTTCTTCCCTCCCTTCCTTCTTTCCTTCCTTCCTTTTTTTAGAAACGAGGTCTGCCTGTTGCCTAGCTGGACTTGAACTCCTGGGTTCAAGCGACCCTCTCACCTCAGCCTCCTGAGTAGCTGGGACTACAGGCACTGGTCTCTCGGTAAATACTAGAATATAAACTCCATGAGGACTAGACTTTTGAACATCAACTGTTGTTTGTAACATAGTCGACACTGAAGTACTGAGTGATTGAAGGGGGATTCAAGCAGGCAGGTCTGTGATAAGTTAAAAAAAAGAAAATAAATTAACTATACCTTGGAAGAGATGTGGTTTTAAAGGATGTGGCATATTACCAAGCAAATAGGAGACTGGTTAGCCCCCTGAATTAGTGAGACAATTAAGGTAAATATTGCTATTGGGTAAGAAAGAAGGAGAAATTTAAGTGTGACCATTAACTCAAAAGGGTTTGCCAGACATGGTGAGTCATGCCTGTAATCTCAGCACTTTGGGAGGCAGAGGTGAGAAGATTGCCTGAGTCCAAGGGTTCAAGACCAGCCTGGGCAATGTGGCAAGACCTCGTCTCTACAATAAATAAAAAACTTAGCCAGGTGTGGTGGCGCACACCTGTGGTTCCAGCTACTTGGAAGGCTGAGGCAGAAGGATCACCTGAACCCAGCAGGTCGAGGCTGTGGTGGAAACCTGCACAGCCTGAGCAACAGAGACTCCAACTCAAAAAAAAAGGAACCACAGCTTTAAGACAGTTATTTAAAAAAAAAATTGACCAGGTGCAGTGGTTCAAGCCTGTAATCCCAGCACTTTGAGAGGCTGAGGTGAGAGGATTGCCTGAGCCCATGGGTTTGAGATCACTCTGGGCAACATGGTGAGACCTCAACTCTACAATAAATCAAAAAATTAGCTGGGCGTTTTAGCACACATCTATAGTTCCAGCTGCTTGGAAGCCTGAGGCGGAAGGATCACCTGAGCCCAGCAGGTTGAGGCTGCGGTGAGAGGATTGCCTGAGCCCATGGGTTTGAGATCACTCTGGGCAACATGGTGAGACCTCAACTCTACAATAAATCAAAAAATTAGCTGGGCGTTTTAGCACACATCTATAGTTCCAGCTGCTTGGAAGCCTGAGGCGGAAGGATCACCTGAGCCCAGCAGGTTGAGGCTGCGGTGGCCGGGAACATGCCACTCCACTCTAGCCTGGAAGACAGAGTGAGACTCCAACTCAAAAAATTAATTAAATTTAAAAATTAAGAGGATTGAGAAAAAAATTTTAAGTCACAGAACTGAAAGATATTAAGGCTCAACTAACATTACAGTGTTTAAATACAACACTTTTGAGTAGATGGAATGATAGCCTACTATGAATGGACATTTGTTTGACACAGCAAATACAGAACAATTTTAGGGGTTGGGCACGGTGGCTCACGCCTTTAATCCCAGCACAATGGGAGGCTGAGGTGGGAGGACTGCTTGAGCCTAGAAGTTCGAGACCAGCCTGAGCAATATAGGGAGATCTCATCACACAAAAAAATAGAAGAATTAACCAAGTGTGGTGGCGTGTATCTGTAGTATCAGCTACTCCAGAGGCTAAGGTGGAAGAATTTCCTGAGTTCAGGAGGTTGAGGCTGTGTTGAGCGGTGATCCTGCCACTACACTGTAGCCTGGGCATAGAATGAACAC